GAGAAGGAAAAAGAATTTCTTATAACACCTGTTAAAATATCTAATGGAAATTACTCCAACTATTCTTAGACCATTTCTGTTGGTCCACTGATCATGGCACAAACAAAAGGAAGTTAGGAGGTTTTCTTATGATAGTGATGCACACCATTGAAGAGTGAGTGGTCTGGCAAATTTGTTTTTCTTAAAGAGCAAATCTATAAAGCACTTTTTTCCTGTATATAAAGGGGAGGTACTATTGTACCTGTTTTTTTTTTTGATATACTGTTTATGTACCATAACAAAATCCGTCTACTTTCAGTCACAATGTCTCTATGCACTCTTTCTCTCTACAAAGTACCTCTGGGAATATCAACCGGTCTTGCCATGTTTTTCTTCCTTTCTTTTAGTTTACATACAAGTTTTTATAATAAAATCTTAATGTTCTATAATGTATCATCTGTCATTACTCAGAAAAGCTGCTTTTCTTTCAACTGTCCACTAAATCAATGCCACAACTGAGGCTTGAGACACATTTGTACACATCTGTTCACTTCATTACATTTGCTAGCTCAGGAGTGATGACTGCATTGTTCATCAGCAGCACCAATGACAAGCATATGAACAACTACAACTGGGGTGGGCACTATGACGGTATTTTGTGGCACAATACACTTTTCTGAGCATATCATGGACCAGTACTTAAAAAAAACACAGACCAATTACATGTTTCATTACAAAGTGAGCATAATTAGGCCTGTTTAACTGGATTTAGTGCAGTTTGTAAAACATAAAAACATGAATAAAAATCATTATAGTTGTACAGTATTATAATAGCCCTCTTTAAATGTGGCACTATTGCTTGTATTTTTCCAACTCACTATGCTGTGTATTGTGAAAATGTCTTGAAGTATAAGGATATATTTTTTTTGCCATATCACCCACCCCTTAGTAAAACATCAATCTGTGTTATCTGCTTGTGTGCATCTTAACATCTTACAAGAGCTGACATAGAAAGAATACATTAACTTGACACTGATGTGAACTTACGGGTAATAAGAGTTTACAGTAAAGAAAGGAATAAAAAGGAGTGAAGTAATAAACATAAACCCATGTCAAAAACATTACATATTGTGCATTTAATTCTTTTTACATTCATGAAACACATTCAACAAAATTTAAAAATATTGCCAAATCCAACTTTTCTCAAACCCAAAATAATGGCCATAATTATATGCATTTACTCATAACATCTGATAGTAATTACATAACGTCTTATATGCAGTCACAATCTATACTGAACTTTAACTATACAAAAGTCCACAGGCTCACAAACAAGATCACTGTTTCAATAAGAGCAACTGTTCAAACCAAGAGAAACATCTTTCTATTGGTAATATGGTCTGTAACGGCCCTGATCTGGATGATGAGGCCCAGGCATCTGTCCCTGTGGAGGAGGGCCTTGCATCCTTGGGGGAGGGGGTCCTCTGGGGGCAGGCCACATCCCTGGACTAAGCCCACCTGGCTGGTTAAAAGGAGGGCTGAGAGTGCCCTTGTCCTCTGGGAACTGGGGGTTGTAATGGTGTGGTGGAGGAGCGTTTACTGGGGGGCCGCCATGTTGAGGAGGGGGGCCTGGTGGAGGATGGTTCATGTATGGTGGCAGCTGACCCATGAGGTGTCCAGGAGGAGGGGTAATGGGAGGTGGAACAGATGACAAAGGTGGAGGCGGGGCTTGGTTGAATACCATGTGGGTGCCGGAGCCCTGTGCTGGGTGTTGCATTGGATGAGTGATGGGAGGTGGAGGAGGTGGAGGCCCATAGCGCTGCTGCGGTGGCGCCATCATATGATGCGGGTGGGAAACAACAGGCTGCCCTGGGTAATCTCCAGGATGGTGGTGTGGGGGCGCAGCATTCGCAGGCTGTGGGAGCTGATCGCGGGGGGCAGGGCTGGTCGAATCGTCCTGGATGGGGACGGTGATGAGGTTGCTGTGCTTCCGTGTGGTCACCGTAGCAATGCGGAAGGTTTCTGGAGCAAGTGAGCGAGGCGGTCCCATGTCAGCAGCAGGCTGGCCTTGTGGGGCTCGGTGGTCGTCATGGGACACAGGAGGCGGCTGACTGTAAGTGTCGTGACCTGCATGTGTCAAAGGGGGAGGGATAAGCACATGGGGCTTAGGTAGGTGTGGCGGGGGCACACGGAAGCGGTCCGACACCTCAGACGAGGAGGGAAGGTGGAGAGAGTCGACGCGGCCTGATGAAGTCTTGCTCGCCCTCATGTGGCGGTGGTTAATGTGGGCCTGCAGGTCCCTCTGGGAGAGGTAGGTGCGCTTGCAGCCCTGAACAATGCTGCACATAAAGAGGGAGCCACGCTGGCACTGCTCAATCCGCTGGACTGGGTCTGTGCAACTGTACAGCGTCAAACTGAATGGACAAGGGCAATGAAAACAAAAGACACTAATTGATTAACTTCATACAACTGAAATACATACCAGCGAACAGGCAAAATGTACACGCTATGATTCAAAACATTTCCATGTACAAATTGCATAAGAAAAACAGTAAACTTACCCTGGGCACATTTTATCACCTTTCCGTTCATGAAGAACTGCACATTCGTAGCAGAAAACATGCTTGCAAGGAATCTGTGAAAAAAACATGTTTAAGGGGCCAAAGCGACATACATTGGGTAACCAAGAAGCTACCTTTAAACATTTCAAACTATATCATAACAGATATAGCTTACCATGCGGCCATAAGTCTTAATGGGTAGACCACACTTGTCACAAAAATGCACAGGGGTCTCATCCTTCTCACCAATCAGATTGAGCTGGAAAAAGAAATAAGACAGTGAGCACAATTCATGGTTTTATTTATTCCATCATCTGAGTTAGCTCAGAAAAACAGAGAAGAACAGGTGAACACAGGTCTGCAACCTTATAATCCCAGTAGAATTGTTGAGGGAATCGCCGCTGGCCAGCAAATGCATCTCCAGCCTTTGCTCCACACTCAAACCTCTCTTCCTGTTTATAGGCGAAACCCTCTATAAAAAGATAAATGAAACGATTATTAATCCTGACACGTTGCAAGTAACATTAACAGCTCAGTACTTTTTTTTTTGGAACATGCTTTGGGACGTAACTGGCCCAAGGGTCCCTGAATTTGGGGTTGAGGTGGTGACTGGCTTACTTCGAGCCTGTTTGGGAAGAAGCTTGATAGGGATCCTCCTTCTGACATCAGGACCTCCTAATGCCCCCTCTGTTCCCTGCATGTCACTGTCTGCATACAAAAAAGCAACAGATTAATATCTGGTTGGAACTGATAGCACATTTGTGTATCAGTGACATTAGTTATATACAATTCGTACTGTATAGTGTGCAATATTATGAACAGCAAATGAAAGCAACAGCAAATGACAGGTTCTCCAGACAAAGGCAGTATTACACACACTAGCAGTCACCCCCCCCACACTTGAAAAAACTATATTGTGATGTCTGGAACGTTCATTCATTATAATAACCATATGTTTTCTTACATATTCAATGTCCCAGTTGTTGAAATTGCTCAAACTGGTACTTGTTGACAAAAAAAAACAAAATATACAACATGTATTACCAGCACACTGTTGCATGTTTTGATCTCAAGTTGAAACAAGACATAAAAACATGCAGAATGCAGATGTGAAAGTACACATGTCCAAATTTTTGCAGCCACATTTCAAACTTAAGGGTATTAACAGGGGGTTTGTCCACCTTTTGCTGCAGTAACAGCCTCTACTCTTCTAGAAAGGCTTTACACCAGAAGTTGAGACATTGCTGTGAGCATTTGTGAGGTCAGGCACTGATGTTGGATGATTAGTTCTAGATCACAAACGCCACTCCAACTCATCCGAGAGGTACTGCATGGAGCGTCATCACTCCAAAGAACATAGTTCTACTGCTCCACAGGTCAGTGATGGGGCAGCTTTATATCCCTCTAGTCAGTGCTGGCAGTGGGCATGGTGACCTTAGGCTTATGTGTGAGGTCATTCTAAAACTTGCTACCCTGTGTAACACCTTAAACCAGCTGAATTCAGTAATTTAAAAAAGGCATGCGCATATCCTCTAGCTGGCATTGGGCATGCTGGCCTCAGGAATGCCTGTATAAGCAACGGGTGCACCTTAAAGTAGCCGAATACCCTAATTAGAAGGGGTGTCTAACAGAGGTGGGCAATATGGCGAAAATGTAACATTGCGATACTTTTTCATGATACACAATATATTATAATATTTACTTTTTTAGACATCTGAACAGATGGAAGAAGCTTTCAAAGGGGAGGGTGGTTGCAGACAAAGGCGTGGCCTACTGTGAAGCCCCGCCCCTTTGGTCAGTACAGCGCGCCCAGGCCGAACACACAACGTTTATAACTAACTTAGCCAGGAACGAACGAAACGCAACAGTTTCTAACTAAACATTACGCGACACCGTAACGCTGAGCTGCAACAGAATCTGGCCGTATTTTCAAAAACACCTTCAGCAAATCAACACTGCAGCTAGCTAATTAGCATGCTAATGTCGAGGCCAGAACGGCCACTGCAGCGACTAAAGGCGGAAACAGCCGTCGAACCGCCTTAAGTTACCTACAACACACAGTTTCACAAGTAACCCTACATTTTATACTGAAGCGCCGTCATCAGTCTCGGACAAATCTGCACAGTATTTTACAACCAGCAAAAAATCTGCAAACTGTGGATTTCCCTCCTTACCAATCGGATCCATGGCTGGATGTGTGAATTCAGCGACTTTGCGTGCTTCCGTAGTCAACCTTTCAATACAAAAGTCTCAGCACTGGAGGCCAACGCGGCCTACTGTTTTCAAGATAATGCCACAAAAAATTAAAAACAATACAAGCTAAATAAATACGTTGATCGTTTATATGTTTTTTGTTTTTTTTTTACTTTATGAACAAAAACCCCAACAGTTTTTTTTTTATCCCCACTCTCACCTTTTCATCTCTAGTCCTCTTATTCCAGCAGGTGGCGGTGATGCTCCTCCCACTCAGGCAACGTGACCCGTCAACACACACCAGAAGAAATAAGATGGACTCGATCGAAGGAGCTCAGAGAGGAGTCTTCACATGCGAACTGTGTGAATTATCAAGTCCCTACACATTTTACGGGCAGAAGCCTCCAAACACCAGAGGCATTGTGTAAGTGTAACATTAGTATAAGACACCTTATAAGTAGTTTAGGTAGCGGCGATAGGAACCAGGGCTCGAACCCCTACAACACAAACACAAATACAAATGTAGGCTTTTTATTTACTGCCAAAGCCGACATCCGTTTTTAAATGTAAGTTAATATTGATGATGAAAAAACGTGGTAAACTAATAAAAATCTGTTTTCATAAGGCGCTATTTTGCCTTACAACGTCTTGCATGCATCTTCGCCTTAAAAACTATAGTGTAACGTTAAGTACCTCAGACATTAGGCAGAGTAATTGTACTAAGACCCCTTAAGTGCTATTGTGAACAGAAATAACAGTTATTTGCAGCGACATTGAGTTCTCTTGTAAAATTCATTGCATTTACGAGTTAACTTAAAACATTTGCAAGAAACCCAAAATTATTTGGAGGGAACGCAGTATCTTTTTTAAACCACGGCCTCTGTATATTTGCAGCTGTTTAATGTCACATCTTTCTGTGAGGCTGCGTTTGTCATGGATGCACGATGATATCGGAATCGTATCAGTATCGGCAGATAATTGCAGGTTTCCCGAAAGCGCCTTGCAAAAAGATGATTCTTAAATGGTTGATCGAGCATCTCAGTGAACACTCTCTCTACCAGTTATAATGATCCTAACACAAAGATGCCTTTGGGAAACTTTGGCCCAGACCTGTGGATTTTTAACTGATATTTGATTGTGTGTTTGCTGCACTCTGGAAGAGAAAAATGTTAATGTGACTCTGGGCTCCTTCGCTAAAATGTCAGCATTATATTCGTTCTACTGTATTTGTAACCCTCTAAAAATAACTTGTTTTTCCCATCATACTGATTCAGGCAGATGTAGTCCATAATATCTTCATTTTATAAACTACATATCAGCACAGGAAAATATGTACATGAAAAACATAGATATCATCATGGGCCCACCTTTCTCTTTTTGGTGCATGCCTGGCTTTTGAAGCTTTTAGAGGCATATAAGCCCATCGAATGTCTGGTTCCTATCACTACTGCTGTGAATAATTCTGACTCAGTACATTTTCTCTAGGATGAAGCATTTCACGTCAAACCACTCTGAACGAGAATTTACATTTTAAAGGTTTAATTTGGCCAGAATTCCTCCTAGAGGAACAGTTGTACTGAAGAGGCCGGGCATTTAACCAGCGCTAATGTTCAGTAGTGTAATTACACCTAGACCTAGTAGTATCAGAAAGAGCCTTCATTTACCTTTACAATACACTAGTACCTGAAAACATACAAACGCTTTAAGACAGTGTTCTAAGATATTAGAACTTAGGACAAATATTAGCACCTGCATTCATACATATTGGTGGAACGTGTGGTGATATTTTCTTATGACAAATTTAATCATCGTGCTACACAACATGCTTTTCTGAGTATATTGTGAGGACGTAAACACTGACCAACTGATTATTTTTTATTAAATTATTTTTATTAAAAAGAGCACAATTAATCTAGTTTAAATGATTTTATTGCAGTGCGGAATGTGAAGTGTTGAATGAAAATCATTGTGAGGTTTTCATTATTTGTTTTTAAATGTAGCACTAGTAGTGCATTATGGCTGGGTGTCCAAATATCGTGACACATATTGTATATCCTGAAAATTTCTTTAAGTATTGTGATATATTTTTACCATATTTCCCACCCCTATTCACACCATTGTTTTTGAAGGGGCAGCCTTTCCCTATATGTTTTTACTTACCATAAGTAACCCTACCATACTGTTACGGTAGGGTCACTGCCTTGTTGTTCTAGTCAGGACTCATACATAGAAAGCTGCTAGTAAGTTGTCACTATCTCTATTTACCTGCCTCCCTGTTTAACACGTGTGCACACTCCTTGTTTGTGTTCTGCTCCTCAGGCTACTGGAGGAATGCTATGGTATGCGCGATCCCTTCAGTCCAGAGAAAGAGAAATTCCTTGTGTTGGGGTCTGAGTGTTGTGTGTGTAACAAGACTGTGTGTGTTGGCACGGTAAGCACTAAAGAGCTTCCTTCACTCAAGTGGTTACCTACCTACTTGCTGTAGATATCAAGTTATTTTAATTCTAAATATCTTAACAAAACATTAACAAAATCACTGATAACCCTTCTTTTCAGGATGTATTGCATTATACATATTTGTTATCTGTATCTATTTATTTTATTCAGCCTTGTTTGTATAATTTTATCAACATTGTCACTAATTCTTCACCTGAATATTTTGAACTACGAAGCTTCAGAATGGAGGTGGGCGATACACAATATGTATCATAATGTTTGTTTTCTGGGGCTTGACAAGTTGCAACGGACTTATCGAGCCTCAGTAGTGCCACTTTTTATTTGATAAATTTGATTTCTGTTCAACATTTCATATATTTCCCTGCATTAAATCCAATTAAGCAGGCCTAATTATGCTTAGACAAGCAGTGTTCTTTAAGTGTTGATGATGTCCATGATATGCTGAGAAAAAGCATATTGTGAAGTAGTTTTTCAATCTAAACATAAAATATTGACATATTGCTCACTAACACTGCAGAATCAGTCTTGAACATGTTATTTATGCCTTTCTTAAACCAGGAGTGCAGCCTCTTCTACACCAAACGCTTCTGCCTACCATGTGTGAGGGAACACCTGGACCAGTTTCCAGAGCAGATTCAAACAGAGCTGGCCAAGAAAAAATCTGCTCAGAAAACTTGATGTCCATCTCCTATTCTGTGGACAAAGGGCATTTTGGATGTAATGGATATAAACGCTGACCTGATCTCTTATGCCCCTTTTTTGTGGGGCTGAATTGGATCATGATTTTGGGGGTATTGAGCCAAACTTGCGTGACTCCGGAAGATGAATTATAGTGGACATGCAGGCAAACGTGCAAGACATCGTGTTTGTGGTGGTTCAGTGGATACGGCTTTGACTATGTTGGTACGGCTTCAAGTTTCAAGCTGTTTGTTTTTCCAAAGAGGAAGCCCCTGAAAAGTAGGACCCTCTTATAGAAGGTATCTGAATTATTTGGAGCCTGGTTTGAGGCATGGGGAACTGAGAAGTGGCTTGGTTTTCCACTGAATCACAAACCTGTACAGCAGTCCTGGCCTGAAGATGCTGTAGGATGTTTGAAGTACTGAGTGAATTCTTGTCACTGTTGGAAAAAGGAACTTTTTCCTTAAATCTAATCTAAGATTGGGAAGTCTTAGCATCTCAGTACTTCTGGCACAAAAATCTAAATCTGTCACAGTGTGACATCAAACAATTACTGAGAGATTGATATTAAACATGTTAAATGCAAAGAATTAAAGCTGAATACCTGAATTTTTGAAAACGAGTGTGAAGATTTGTGTTTATTCTTCTGCTTGATGTCAAATTCAACCATGAAATATTTTTGAGGTTCTCTACGAACCCCATTCCCGTTTCTTTATTTAAAGGTGCAGTGTGTAAGAGTGGGATCTATTAGCAATTATGGAATCTCTTGAGTGCCTTTTGTTTTTTTACGTTCAAACGGCAGCTTGAATTTGGTGGCGCTGTAGCACCAGTTGAAAGATGTAGAAAAAAAGAAGAATCAGTGGTTGCTGCCAGCGCTGGCTAACCATTTTGTGTTGTAAGAAGTTTAAGAACCCAAATTTTGACAAATGGAGGATCACAGTTACTATTTAGCACAAAAAAGCAAAGAAAGGTGAATGCTTGTCGTCAAAGAAGCGAATACATGACAGCCACTGTAAGTTCTACTACACGCTTGAAAAGGGAGGGGTATTTAGTAGGCTGCAATCTGCAACCTTACCACTAGATGTCTAAATCTTACCCACTGCACCTTTAATGACACGAGTCACTTAAGAAACTACGATTGGCCCAAACAGCATTTTACATGCTTTGAATGCTCGCTGGTGTTTTTGAACAAATACTCGAATACTCATTCTCAGCACTTCCCCTAAAAATTAGAACGTTTACATTCATAATTAACGATAATTTGGATTGTTTGTTTTCTTAATCAAACTATTCCAGTTTTCAGTTTGTAAAGAGGAGTGTGGCTGTGTTCAGCCTTTAGCCAACCTTACTTGGGTATGACATAATTCTGTAGCCTAACATCACATCCAGTGTAAAGCAATGTAAAGTGACATTTTTTTTTGGTTTTATAATACAATGTTTTGCTCAAAACAGTGATAAATAAGCCCCTAACTCTGAAAATTCTATAAGAGTGTTCTATTAAACTAATAATTATAAGTCGATTATTCAGGTCGGCCCTATGAGACACCAAATTTTCCTCAAAAATTTGACTCTTTTGAAAGAGTTTTATGTCGTGTGTAAACATTATTAAAGTTTCCAAACATACCTTTCACTCTGTTGACATACAGAACATACAGAACCAGCTACTTCATTAAGTACACCTCCTGTATACATTCTTTTTTCATTTTATCAGGACTGTAGTCCATCCGTGTCTATGCATACTTCGTTGGTTCCCTTTAACCCTGTTCTTCAATGGTCAGAACCTTCACTGGGTCACCATAGAGCAGGTATAATTTTGGTGGCTGGCAGCACTGCTGTTTCTGATCCACTCATAACAGCTGACCATACACTAACACACCACCACCACATCACTGTGACTGCAGTGCTGATAATGATCCACCACACAATTAATAACTGTTCCGTGGTGGTCCTGTGGGGGTCCTGACCACAGAAGAACAGGGTGAAAGGGGGCTAACAAAGTAATTGGAGAAACAGGCGAACTACAGTCTGTAATTGTAGAAATACAAAGTGCACCTGTATGATGGACAACGAGTGCAGACAGTGGCCGGTCAGTGTATATAGAAGTTGGGCTGCAAAAACACATTGTTACATTGTTTTTGTAATGTGACAAAACCAACTCAGTTACGCTAAAGTTTACAAAGAGTGCTGAAATGACTGCTTTTTAAATGAGGCACAGTATAAGATCATCAGAAAACTTACATATTTCAGTCTTAAAGACATAGATATAATATAAAAATGAAAATGTTGTAAAAATTAATTATAAGTGTTTTGGTACATAAACAAATGTTAGTGAGCCTCAGGGAAGAAAATTAAATACAAGAAAATGAAAGATGGGCCCATTTAAACCATACTGGAGTGACATTTCAAATAAAATGGACTTGATTGGGGCCTTGAACAAAACTGGTAGAGACATTTCAAAGACTGGCTTCATTGTCCCAAATCATTACTACTTGTTTTTCCAGATAGCAGTCTGACAGGTAATTTAAGGGGCCCACATCCTACATTATTCTTAAATTTTATTTTTTTCCCTGAGTGCGTAACGTTTGTGAGGGTTTATGCACCAAAAACCCACATGACTAGGGACTGTGTGACACACTGTCACACTTTAACAGTGTTTACACACCACATCAACCCCTTTTATTCAAAAAAAAAAATTCATACCCCTCTAGCCTATGCTTGGCATTGGACGTTGACCTTGGGCTCGTGTGCGGCCGCTCCAGAGCATCCTGCTGTGTTGCCAGTGCTATGGAGACTATACAAGCTGAGTGTGCATTTGAATTTCTGTGTGAAAAGTGAGTGCACCTTAATGCAGAAGGGGTGTCCACAAACTTTTGAACATAGTGTGTGTAGAGCAAACCGCAATTAGATTTAGCTTAGTGTGTGCTGCATCTTCAGTTTCAACCACTAGAGGTCAGTAAAAGCATTTGTGTTGACTCTCATGACCCTTTAAATTCTTTCTTGGGCAGAACCACCAGATACCTGTTTACAGACGGAAAAGGAAATCAAAATGTTATCATACGATTCAAGGAAGCCTTGATGAAGAGGTATTAATATATTTTACACCTCTTAAGTGTGACAGAATTATGATTATATTATACTTTAAAATTATACTTTGTAACATTGACTACCTGCTAGCTGTATGCACTATTAGCCAGCTAAAGTCATGAAATGGATACAGGCCTATCTAACTTATCTACCTTCAAATCATCTGCTATACCATTGCACCTGTTTTTACTATTGTTTTTATTCTCTTACATCATGTTCTGTGTATATTACCAAGAATTATGCACATTGTGGGCCTGTGTCATTGTGAACTGTATATTTTCATGTGAATTGATTATATGCATTTGACTATACTATCTGTATTATTATAGCCTACATCTGTATTATTATGTTATTATATGTTATTATATTATATGTATTATATATTACAATGTTATAACATTCCATGTTGTGTGTTATTATGTAAATGTTACAAAAATACCCATATCCACCACATCCTTTATCACAAATGGCTCAAAATCCCCATAACAGAAAAGGATTAAAGGATGAGCCTAAATGATAAGATATAATTTACCACTGTGCCATTCTGAACTGCAGGCTTTTTGTAGGAAAGAGAGAAAAAAATGCAGCACTAAAGAAGGACAACTGATATGAGTAAGGGATCTGAACTACTTACTGATGGTGGCAAAGTCTGCCAAAGATAAGGGCATTGCCAACTATGACCTCAGTCCTGCGAAAAAAAAAAAGATAGCAAATTTAATCACACTTTAACACACCTCACTAAACCATGACCTAAATCTTCCTGATCATAAAAGATTAAAAACAAAACAAAAAAAAACAAACTAACTAAACAGAAACTGCTGGACCTTCATGTATATTTTTATGTTTATTTTGGGTGCGCGATGAATACTTTCCTGAGCTCTCTCTTTCAAATGATGGTACTTTCATTTAAAATCGTGCATGTTTGTGAACAAAGGAACCTACTTTTTACTCAGTTAGACTTGTAGTGATTTACAATTAGTTCCTTTTGTGTATAACTTCACAATTTAATTTTTGTTACTCACACCTCGCACTGCAGAGCTTTAGCATTTATTTCAGGCCTAAAAATACTGGACATACTGGGAAGCTCGAGTACACTTCTGGACACTTTTTCAACTGATACTTTTGCCAACAAGTTGTTTTAGGCAGCTTTTTGTACTCTTACTCTTTTCAATCTTTAACTCCTTCTATTTTCAGTATCTGAACTGAAGTAACGACACGTAAGTCTGGATTAAGGCTGCTTTACCCACTTTGGCTGTTTGGATGCAGAAGCCGCGGAGCCGTGTGCTCTGTAGTGCACTATGTAGGGAGCAGGGAGCCATTTGAGATCCGGCCCTCGTTCCCTTTAAGAAATGGGCGGCGGCGGCGAACCAATGAAAGTGCTCTGTTTAAATAGCCGTCGCTGTCAGTCCCTCTTCTTTCCACTTGCTTTTACTTGTGATCGCCATATTGGGCGCTCGAATGGTTTTGCCTGGTTTTCTCTCGGAATTACTACGAGACCGGAGCAGATAGGAGTGTCCTGTCCACGGCTGCACATTTTTTTTTGCGATTCCAGCCACACCGTCTTCTCTTTTCTTTTCGTTTACCCTTTCTTATCCCCCTCTCTCTCAATTTTAAATGCTCGTTTTTTTGGCATGCTTGCTCTTCTCCTGCACGTTCGCGATTCGCTCTACTTTGACGGGAGCCTCGTTCACGTTGCGTGTTGTTTGTAGTCGTCGTCGGCGTTTGCCTCCATAGCACGACTTCTTGGTGTTGTTGTTTTGTCACACTTTTTTCCCTCTTTTTTTGTTCGGGACAGATTTTTTTTTTTTTTCATTTTCATGTAGGAAAAATGTCTGACGTGCGCCTGTCTAACGGAAGCCCCCCGCTGGAGAGGGTGGACGCGAGACTCGCGGACCACACGAGGCCGCCGGTGTGCAGGAACCTGTTCGGGGGTGGAGGCGCCGCGGACGCGGCGGAGCTCCGGCGGGACTGCGCGGAGCAGCTGCGGGAGATGGCGCGGGCTCAGCGGGACAAGTGGAACTTCGACTTCGCGCGGGACGAGCCGCTCTCCCCCGGCCAGTACGAGTGGGAGGCGGTGGACGGCAGAAGCGTGCCGGACTTTTACAGCAGGCCTCCGCGGGGAGCGGAGCCCGAGCGGACCACCGAGCGAGCTCCAGCGCGGAGCAGCCCGAGTCCGCCTAACCCGAGTCTGGAGAACGGAGCTGCTGTAGGAGGAGGAGATGGAGGAGCGGAGAACACGGCTGCTCGCCCGGACCGCAGGGAAACGAGGAAAAGACCCTCCACAGAGCAGCAGGGTAACTCAAATGCAACTTAAATGCAAGGGGAGGCGGGGGGCGTTGGACTTTGGTAACCGGCTCTGCTGCACCGAAGTGGGCTTAGACTAAACCTGCAGCACGCTGGCTGCTCCGTGCTTGATGCTGCTGATGCTTGCAGCCATTTTGCGTCCCCCTGCAGTAAAAGGAAAACAGCCCGTGCATCGCGTGGCTGATGTTGCTCACTTTGACCATTTATTTAAGTTATTTGCTGCAGTTTTACATTTTTCCTCCAGTGCTCGTTATAAGCAAATGCTGCAGACTATACGAGGGTGAAGGTGGCTTCCTATTCGCCCTCTTCTTGTTCAGATTTCCCCGTTCCACCTTAAATGGTGCAGCAGTTACACTCTGAGGCGCTAGAACTGCACCATTTAAGGTGGAACGGGGATATTCTGACAAGAAGAGACTTCAGCTTCGTGCATTCAAGGCTGATGAATTGATGAACCAATGAACTGCTGCGCGTCCCAAGCAGCTAACAGCCTCTTTCCTTTTTCGTTTAAATCAGATGGTGCAAGTCAGAGTAAAAGAGCGAACAGTGATGCGGAGGAAGCGGAGGAAACGAACCACTGTCCAGACGAGTCCCCTTCAGTAGAGCAGACACCTGTAAAAAAACATCCCAACACGTAAGGCAAGCGAGGCCTTGGGAGCAAAGGTGAGTAACGTTACTGTCGGTCTATGCACAGCGTAGCGCATTAAACACTGCGCAGCTATACAGGAACAGCCTCATATCTGCGCTGCACAGTCATTTACCTGCGCTTAGCTGACTCAAAACAAGCGCACAAAAGCAGCCAACGGGCAGCTGCTTTATCAGATCAGACCTGGAACTACGTTTAGGTACCTTTTCTGTTCCAAGTGCAGTCGGAAGTGTGGCTTATGGTCAGTGGTCAGATGAAATGTTCTCGTAGGAAGAGTGGAGTAATAACGTGAGCTGTGCTAGAGTGACTTTTACGTTGTAAACAAAATGCCTGTGGAGTGAACAACAGTGTAGTAAAGACGTCACGAACACCCTGGGTGTGTATGTGTTTGGGGAGGGAGGGGGGGCGTTGAAGGGGTGAGGGTGGTGCAGGATCACACACTGCAGCCTCACACACGCACGTCCCTATAATGACTTTGTCGTTTCTTTACGTTACTCCAGATCACCTTTGAAAATAGGCTTTTTCATTTGCTTCATGGTCTTATATGAGTCTTATGACACCCACATAACATTTACTGCAGGATTACAGTTCATCGCAGTGATCCAGGTTTAGCATGTTTATGGGGTCTTTCGTCTCAGTGTCCGAAGCAAGTGGAGCCAATCGCATGTGTGTATTGTGTCACCGTGTTGGTCTTTTCCTTTATAGCTAAATAGACGTTTGTCCTTCTGTTCCCTGCAGAGATGAAGAATGTGTTTCTCCATCAAAACCTTCGAGAGCTTTATGAAGTAAACAGGGACAGCAATGCAAGAAAAAAAAGCGCATCGTCTTTTCTAAGGATGTGCGAGGCAGTAGAAGCACTGAATTTTTACACTAAAGTTTTGGCACTCAACAAAATACATTTGCCTCAAAAGCAGACAATGTAGCAGCGTGCAATTGGTGGGTTTTTTTTTTTATTATTTTACTTTTTTTTGTTTTTCTTGTTGCTCAGTCTTTACTACCTATGTATATATTCTCATTTTATATGTAGCACATTTGAAATATAACATTATGATGGAAAGAAAATCATTTATAATAGTGTGAATAATGACTTGAAGAATTGCTGTGCAGTTTTCAAAACGACTCCCAATAATACTCCCTCTCTGAAAAGGCATGTCTGCTCATGTTTAGGTAACCTCGGACCTTATGTCTCAACATTGTGAGGGTTTTGTTCATCAGTCAGATCAATTTTAAAGTCATCATGCATCAGTTCTGCACTCTGTAAGTCACGGGCCTCCAGTGATAACCCAGAAAGTTCACCATTTGAAAGAGACCTGGAGCCCGATTAGATGCTACACAAAGGTTGTGTTTTTGGTATTAGCAATAATACCACAGAGGTGCACTGGTACTTGATTGTATGATGTTGATTTAAAACTAATGCCAAAGTTACAACAGGGATATTCCTTTTTCAAGGGTGTGGTTATACGGTTCTGATAGCGTTTCTCAGTATTATTATATCCCTGGGTTATTCCACTATTTTAACCGAGATTGTTTTGGAAATTGCTCATGAATGACAAAACCTACTGAGTAAATAATAATTTAAGAACGGAAAAGTGAAATGAACAGTTAATTTTCTTTTAGTCATCTTTGTGTATTTCTCTTGCATCGCTGTGTAGCAAAGTTTTTAGATATATTTTTTTAAACACTGGGCCATATATTTTTAAAACTGCAGTAGTCCATGTATCTGGTCCTTTGCCACCACACAACGGCAGTCATGTTGAACATGATGTGCCACTATGTCCCAGCATAAAAAAAACCTACAGAAAAGACGTTACACTGCATGTGTGTAAAACTTTGAAGTGTACCTGTGTATATTGCTTTGTAAAAACACTGAGGAAATTATACTAACTTATTTATGTTAAGCTTTTTTGTTGTGTATGACTATCCAAAGTGGCATTTGTGCTTTTTTTTTTTTAACTTTTACTTTTTATAATGTTTATTATGTTCCAGAATTTGTGCAAGGTTGCAAACTGAGCCTATTAAAAATGATGTGGATTTTCTATTGCTTGTTTAAAGAGATGATTAAAAAAATCATGAACACTCTAAACTGTGTCTATCTGAATATACATACAGGAAAAGCGCTATGCATATTGTCTGACTTACACAGGTAAATATTACATTTCATTTACTCACTTTACAATGAGACTAAGCAAACTTTGCACTCAGACAGAGTACACCGGGTTAAGGCCCATTAATGATCAATACACAAACATTTCCTATCCAATCGCCTACTGTGTAAATAAGACCCTGAAATATTTTTGGATTTCACATCTAAATGTGCTGAGAATATCCTGGAGTTTGTTTTTTTTTCGTAGTAAAGGTTTCTGATGCACATTCAAATACAGTGCGTGTAATAAGAAACCAAGCTAAACATGCTCCCTTTTTCCACTTCACTCCTAAATCTTTTTTTTTAATGGACTTTTCCAATGAGTAAAGCTGTGATTAATAAACATGCATGGTTCTGTCGTACTGTACAGCGTGACTTTGGATTTAAAGAGAGAACTTTAGACCATTTAAAACATTTTATCAGTGTTTTGTGCATATTTACAAAGCTGAAGTTAGCTTCTTATTCAGGTTTTCCGTTCCACCTTAAATGGTGCAGCAGTTACATTGGCGCCTGAATGGAATTTAAGGTGGAACGGAAAATTCGAACAACTCAGCCGCGGCGTTTATTGCTCCAGTCACATTTGTCTACTACTACCAGCACCGTAATAGCCGTAAAGCTGCTTACGAGATATAATAATCTGTCTTCAGTCAGAGATTCGCGTCGTTTTCATCGTCGAGGCTCTTTATTTACGACATGTCTTGACCTTTTGTAATAAGACAAAGTCTACAGATCGGCTCTTTCGTCAAAAACATCATTCATACACGGTTTATGGATTTCTTCTCGGTCGCCATTCAGATAAAAAAAAACTTTCCCCACTCCTGAGGAAAAACAAGGACACGTCCCATGAAGTAGAAAAAGAAGACGAAGAAAAAAAAAACACAACACGATAAGATACTGACATTCGACTCGTCCAATCAGGAAAACGCTGAGAAAAGCACACCACTTACTGTAGCCACTCAGATCGCCTTTCACTGCAATATCAGCGCAGAGTAAACTTGAGTGCTGTTTTGTTTTCCACCTGTATTCGTACACGGCCCGCCCCGCCGCGTTACGATTGGCTCCCGCCTATTCGCGTTCTGTGCTTGGATTGGCTAGTGAGTTGTACTCGCATGCAGTCCACCTATCGGCTCGTTGCATTTTCGATGAACGATAATCATATGTAAATAAACGTACCTCCATCATTGTGAACGGTCACAAAATATGCGAATTTATGTTTTTTTGCCTTTGGCGACATGTTTATGCATCTCACGGTGAACTATACTGTCATCATTGTGCTGTTAATAGTAGGAAATACGTCTGGTTCAGTGTAGACAAAACACTGAGACCACAATAGTTGTAACGTTAATGGTCTCAAGTTTCCTACCATCGTTTTTATCAAATACCCGTTAACTTATATTAATCACAACTGTATTACAGAAATCGCCGAAAAAACACTCTATCGGTGAACTACAAGCGAGCATGACCTACTAACCAATCTCCGCGGAGAATAGGCGGGTCTTGTCGGAATACGGGTGGGGAAAAAAACATGGTGTACATGGTGTTCTTTTCGTAAAAGCTGCACAGCGTCGAGCTGGCACGAATGGTCAGGATTTCTGTTTTTTTGCTGATGCTTGCAAGCCCTGTGACGGTCTATGTAGAGAGGTAGCGGCGTATCGGAGACGTTCAAACCCGAAATAACCCCTCTAAAAGCTGGCTAACTCTAGCATGATGAAATCAAAGCTCGTATTGCAGCAGCCAGCGGTTAATATGAAACGCATTAACGCTAAAGTCAACCATGAATATAAGCTGTAACTGCACGTACACGTAGCAGCTTAGCTTTGTCGACCATGCCTCGCAGTCTACAACTTTTATCATTTTTATAAATTTTCATTATTTTTTAAACACATTCCATCCCCACACAGTGTAACAAAACAGAATTTAAATGACTGTAATGGAATGTGAGGCTGTGCAGCAGCTAAGAGCAGCCGTGCATGTATTCTTCCGCAGGGATCTATGTCTGCTGTGTAGTTCATCTCACACTTAATAGCTCTGCTTATTAATAAGGTGTTGAAGTTGTGATAGAAGAGTGGGAGCCGTGGCTCTGTCTCTGGTGTAGAGTAACACAGCCCTCGATCACTATGGCACAAGTATAGGAGCTGTTCTGAGTTCTGAGAGGAGACAGCTGTGTGGTGGAAGTGGTTGTTCCATTTCTGACAAATGCAGGACAATACATAACTACTTAACTTAGATGCCAAGCAGGGAAATAACCTTCATAACCTCAATGCTGGAAAGAGTCCTGAAGTAAAATTAATATCACTCTGCACGAATTTATGTGCAGAGTGAGTAAGTACCTAAATAGCACCCATATGGAAATCATATATGCGCACATATATCATAAAGGGTCAGGTATATATTTCAAAATATATGTGGTATGTGTTTATCAAATATTAGAGAAGTACGCATAATTTATGGATCATACATATGTGTGAATGCATCCCAGTACAGTATTATTGTTATTACATTAACTGTTTGCTTTTAAATATTAAATTATTTAAACGTGTGGGAAGAATACTCATATTTCATGTTTTAATGATTTTTTTTTTTTGCATAGCTTACAAACTCCATGTTTTTAAAGTTCAGTCATGCAGCTGCAGCATCATTACATTATGAACTACTTGGAAGAAATAAAGGAGGTGAATGCCTAAATATTGTTATTTTACAAGATACATTGTATTTGCTGAATTTAACATATTATTTGTGGTCTTTAATCCAGGGTTTACCAGATACATTGCACACTTTGTTTTTAATGCAAGTTGAAAGCGAAAAAATCTAAATGAAATACACCAGCAGCATAAATTCAGTAAAAAAACACCTTATGTAACAAATCTAGTATATATGAGTAATACCATTCATATATGAAGAATGTTTTCTGTCATATATTTGACATATCATACATATAGACATATCGTCGCTGTCCAATGAAAAACATGTATCTCCATTTTTTGCGATTTTTACTTTTCTGCATCAATTTAGCTCAGCAGCTGTCCTTTACACTGTGTGAAATTTCATGATGAATGGACCAATAGAAATGCTCTAAAATTGCTTAGAATTAAATTTCTTTCCATTAACTTACATTAAAAGTTAACAGCATTTGCCTTCTTCTGTGAAGTTACTATTTTGGAGATACTTGTTTTTCTATGGACAGCGACGATATGTTTGTATATATTGATAAATGGATAAAATACATGTCCCATATTTGAAAATGGCCAATTCCAAATAAATTGGCTTGCTCATATGTGACAAGTTCAATATAAGGGACATCCATATATGCTAATAAATGTCATATACTTGAAATCTGTATTTTGCCACATATCCATATGGGCATAGCAACTTTTTTTGGTAAATGCATGGGATAATTCATTTATTGTAAGTAACATCTAGGCTTGGTTGATGGAAAAATATTTGAATTACTGTCATATTTAACATTTAACATTTAACATTTAACATTTAGTCTTTAGTCTCAAAAAGACTAGGGCTATGCAGACATCTGGGCCCCCTTTTTCCCTTTAGTACTTCAGCTCTTGTTACAAAACTATCAGTGCATCATACCACGGTATGAGGCCAAGGGGTCAATATGATGTCATGCAGTGTTCATAGAAGTTGTTCTTTTTACACTGATCTGAGATCTGTTTTCAGTTTTTCTTTTTCTTTTAAAGACTCAGAGCACAGCAGTAGAATAACTGTTGGACATGTAAGTTGTTACTTGTACATTAAGCAGCTAGAACTGACAGTTAGCAGTGCACATACCACTCAAGTAACAATCAGAAGGTTAGTGTTTTAGGGTAAATTCTACCAATTTTTCAAAATTTCTGCAAATTCAGTCTTTGAGATGTAAGCAGGCATTCAGAGTGGTTTGACCAGTGACCTACATGTGTCTTCTGAGTTGATGGTAAAATAGTGGAGTTTTCTTTGGGTACTATTTTGCCTTACAACAACCTGCATTTACCTCTCTGCCATGAATGTATTTAAAAAGTACATTTAGGTTAAAAACTTTATCTCAGAACTGTTGTAAAATTATGTCTCAAGTATTAAGTAGTGTATTTGTAACCATTTCTTGTTGTAGCTTTCTGTGATGTTCCTTTTGGAGGCATTAAACACTGTGGATATCAGGTTCCTATCACCACCACTGTGAGTAATTCTGATGTGGCAAGTTTATCCAGAACAGCCCATTTCACATCAAACCACCCTGAATGACTTTGTTTACTCAATGATTTAATTATGCAGAAATTTTGAAAAATGGAATTCCCATCTAAACATAATTTATTGTGACATTTTGATTGTGACACGCCTGTTATCAGCATACAGAACTTGTACATGTACATGTACACATAGTCATCCTCATGGAAAACAGGTGCAAGTGCAAAACTGTGGAATGGATGCCCAATTCTCAAATCATTTCATTTTTAGATACTGCAGTGATAACATTACTCTAACCACTAATAGCTGTATGTATGATGACCATTTACTCTGCAATATGATCCAGTGTTGCACCAAGCCACTGCAGTTCCTGTAGATCATGTAGTATGCATGATATAGGGAACACTGTACATTATGAGTGGTGTTCAAAATGCAGGAATTCACAAATAAAGTAAAGGACG